ACCCAAAATGTCAGCTTTCCTGCTCCTCTGATGCTGCCTGGCCTGCTGTGTTCCTCCAGCTCCACACTTATCTCCGGCCTCCTCCAAACTGTTTTTGTCCAGTCATTACATGCCAGTCACTAATTTTGTTGGATTTTTGTCTATTTCCACATTGGCTGGATGGACGAATTTTGTGAGAAAGTGCACAGCTTCCTGTATCAAGCCCAAAATGCTCTCCACACTGCACCTCAACATTGATCCTTTATCAAGTACCGAACTTCTGTGTCCAAATCAAAAGTGCGACCTTTGACTACAAGTTATTTCTATTATTCCGATAAATAGAGGTAATGGGCATTGTTTGATTATGCACCTACAGCACTCAGAGTGCGTGCTGGGACCCTGGGTTATTAGGTAGGAGGCAGACATAAGTAACGCCACAATCTATGAATAAACCTATTATCAAGAAAAAATAATTCTTACGTCACTATTTAATTTGGTGTTTATGTACCAGTGAGGTTTTTTATCTTTCAATTTGTTTCAATAATACAATGGGGAAGATGGGTCACTGGTTTAAGCACAAAAACATGGTTCCATGAAATTCGCGAATGCAGATCATTATCTCCCATATCAAAAATCATTCATCGCAGATGTGTCATTAGAATGTAAATCGATGGACTAGACATGCTGCTTTTTTTGAGTTTCCTGCTGGTCACTTGCTACATAGCATCAGCAAAGAGATGAGGAAATGTCACATGCTCCATCCTTATTGCAAATTAGTGATTGCAATGCGAATAGCCACTGAATAAATAGGCAAAAAAAAAAAGCTTTTAAAAATATTTGGCTCTGTGCATTGACATTTTATATTTGACATTTAGGCAAAACTCATGTTATTTACTGGAAAGTACACAGGTTTAAAAAAAACCAAACATTACTTAGGAGGTTAATGATAGTGAAAGAACCCTAAAAATAAGCAGCTAAAAGCACAAAACTCAGCAACAACAGGCTTGTCCACTTCTTTTCGCAATCTCCAAACACATTTTAAAAACAATGTAAATATAGCAAATGTGTTTTCAACATGTGCTCAACACAGGTCTCAATACTTTTTAAATATGCTCAATTAATCAAGTTCTTGACCACTCAACTACATTGGCTCAGTGACCAACTGAGGATTCAGCAACTAGACAGAACTGATTGAGGCAGGATAATGACACTCATTACGGAGTTGTAGAATCGTCAACTCCCAGGTGGGGCACCCTGAACTGAACCACATCATAATTTGAGATGGAGAGCAGAGGCGAAGTAATTCCTGACAGTAAGAAAATTGGAGATTCAAAGAGATCAGACCATCCTAAATGAACTTCGGGCAACAGGCGAACAAGTCCCCTGAAAAACTCTAAGTATCACAGGGAAATAGTAAGCTCTTTTCACAGAAATTGGAAAGGACATAATTTAAACCAATTTGTTTAAAATTATATCAATTAAATAAGACACGCTTTTTTAAGCATTCATTCAGTAAGGAAGGAAAATATTTTGTAATGCTGAGGAAGAATTCAGCATTTTGTAAATTGTACTTTTACACCTTCACTGACTTCAAGACAACAAACAGGTTGAAAATCATTTGGGAATACTGATGGAATCATTTCTTTTCTTGCATCTGTCCCTGTTTACAAATCCAAGCTGAACAGATTTGCACATGCTTTACTTACCGAGAAGATCCGCCCCCTCGTCCACATCCCCGATGACTTCTGACCCAGCAGTGGAAAGCTCATGGTACAATGAATCCGTGTTTATCCCAAACGCCTTATTTACAATTCCTTGCGTGGGGCTGAATGATCCAATTTACAACAATAAGATTAGTGCATAAATTAACCTTACACAGCAGATTTACACACGCGACACACTGTCCTGTCAGCCAAGCATCGCCATGGTAACCCACCTTATTGTGTTACAGCCGCCATCAATGTAAACATTACCTTTCTGGGCAAGATTTACAAGCCCAGTCTTCCATCAAAAACAGGAGAAAATGTCATCTAAATTATAAATTATTTGTTTATAGTCAATTCTATGCAAAAAAAATGCTACAACAAAAACTGTCAAGGCCACCAAGATGGCTGAGATAGTAATGGAAATCAGAAATCTTCATTGTCTTGATCATCACGGCGAGACAGAGAGAGAACAGAGGGGAGGTTAGTAGCTGCGAAACTCTGGAAACTGGATTTTGTGGGTTTCTTGTTGAATTTAGTTGCCTGGCCTCTTTAAAATGTTTTGAATTGGGAATTGGGCAAAGGCTCTATAAAATTGTAGGGATGGAAATAGTTAGTGGGCCAGAACAAGCAAACTCCTCATGGCCCACAAGCTGTGCTGATTCCTGGGATGACAGAACAATGGATGGGTTATGGCTATTACCTGATAGATGTATATAAAGTTATGAGAGGCATGGATACAGTAGATAGTCGGAGTCTTTCACCCTGGTCAGAAACATCAAATACAGGGGGGCACACGTTTAAAGAGAGAGGGGGTAAGTTTAAAGGGGATGTGCAAGGCATGGTTTTTTTTAAAAACATAGACTGTGATAGGTGCCTGGAGTGTGCTGCCAGGGGAAGGGGTAGAAGCAGACGCAATAAGAGGCATTTAGGACAGACACAAAAGGCAGAGAAGAGGAGGATACAGATCACGTGAAAGCAGATAGAATTAGTTTAGGATGGCATCATAGTCAGTACAGACGTGGAAGATTGAAGGGCCTGTTCCTGTGCTGTACTGTTCTATGTTCTATATTCTATCTCCAAAATTCACCACAGAAACAAACAAAGACTAGGGCATACATACAGAAGCCCTCTTCCCTCACCAAAAAAACTCCGCTATTTCTCCCTTGAAGTGTCATACTGAACTCGAAACATTAACTCGTTTTCTCTCTCCGCAGCTGTCAGACATCCTGAAGTTTCTCCAACACTCCCAGGGTATTTTTCTGTAGTGATTGGGCTGGGGTTCACTAGGTGGATCTCATTCAGTAGGCATTCCCTGATTGCAGCTGTTAACCTGGGCCAATCAGAGATTCCTGGCTTACAGATATAAACAGGAGTCTCAGGGATTCTCCACATGCCAGGGACTGGCTCTAAGCTGATCAGAGTCGATATACTGTGCACAAGTGAATACAGGGTAACTTGGTGACAGGACACCAGCCTCCACGGAGTTACTTCAGTTTCATGTTGCCAGCATTCTGCTTTTAGATAATTCCTTTAATCTGGGTTGAAGAGACACTGGGAGCCAGCTATAACACGGCAATATCTGTGGCCAAGATCCCAGACAATCCTCAGTCGTGTTACTCACTCAGATTGGACTATGGTCACTCACTACCCTCATTTTGGAGGAGGGGTAACGTCAGACAAAACACATAGCTCCTACTCTACAATCAAAACTGTGGCATGGTTACAGCCCCTGGGTGAGCCCAAAGTCTGGGAAAGTCATGCCCTATCAAACAAAAGAGAAATGTAGCATTTCAGCCCAAGAGGACAGATAGCAGCTTTATTCCAGTTACCAGCTTCAGTCTCACTTGGCCTGCTGTTGAATAGCAGCACCACGACGATTCCAACGCTCAAAGACACTCGAATGTAAATGACTGCTCCACTTTTGTCTCACACTCTGCTGCCAGGCCTCTGTAATCCCTCTTGTGTATGCCAGTGCAAGGCCCAGTGTCAGCTTCTTTGGGTGCTTTGCAGAGTGCCCCAGATATCTATACCAGGAATTTAGTTGGCAAGATGGAACATAGGATGAATAGGCCATTCAGCCCATCAAGCTTGTTCTGTCATTCAACATGATCATGGCTGATCATCCAATTCTCCGTATTTCTTTACGTCATTGGTATCTAGAACTCTATGAATCTTGATCTTAATCATACTCAAAGACTGAGCTTCCATAGCCCTTTGGGATAGATAATTCCCACGATTCGTAACCCACTGATTAAAAGAGAAAAGAAATTACCTAATACCAAGTGCTTTCCCTTCAATTTTAGCCTATGACCCCAGTTCTAGACTACCCAACCAGGGGAAATATCTGCATCTACCTTCTCCAGCCTTTTAAAGCATTTTGTAAGTTTCAACGAGATCACTTTTCATTCTTCAAAATTTGAGAGAATACAGCCCAGTTTACTCAAACTAACTTCTTGGACAGTCCAAGGGACAAATCTGGTGAACCTTCACTGCACTCTGCTGTGGCAATAATGTCCTTCCTGAGAGCAGGAGCCCAAAACCACACACATTACTCCAGGTGCAGTCTAATCAAGCTCCCAAACAAACAAAGTATATCTTCACTACTCCTGTACTCAACCCCTCTTAGTGATAAAGGTTAACATCCCATTAGCCTACCCTACAGTCTGCTGCACCTATGTATTAGCCTTCAGTGATTTTTTGACAAGGACGCCCAGATCTCTTTGTACATCTACACTTTCCAACCTCTTAAAGAAACACTCTGCACATCTGGAGTATGGAAACATCCTATGCTTCCTCATTACTATAGCAACCAGGACAGCCCCTATAACACTTCCCAGAAACCATGGAACATAGTCACCGTAGAGGCTGAATCCAATTGGTTTCCACCAGCTTGTTCCTCGCTTTAGCGCGCCATGAAAACAGGTGCTTTGATGAGGTGAGAGAGAGGGAAAAACCCTGAACAATGATCACGATACACTCCCCACTCGAATCGCACTGCCCTTCGCTGAATGTATTGAGCTGGAAAACTACCTGTTGCCTCCACGTCCTTCAAAGCGAGAATCTTGACACATATCAAGCTCCGGTGTTGAATCAATAATCTCCTGAAGATCAGACAACTCGTCACTACTTCCCATTCCTGCAAATGATTTCAAGGGTACAATTAATTTTGTGGTAAAATAAATCATTAAACTATTGAATATCAGTGTTCTTGCAAGTGATCCTGAACTAAGCCAGTCTTGGGATATCAGAGTGTTGGTTTCAAGGGTTATTTACTGATAATGGTGTTTCTGGGTAGTATGTTGAAAGAAGTGGTATATCACACAGTGAGTTATATGGCACAGTGGTATAATACTTGAAATTATTAGCAAGTGACAGTGAATACATTCTAGTACCTGAAATATTCATCCATTTATTTTAACCAGGATTAATTGCCCTGTTGAGATAGTATCATGCAAACACTTTGGGGCATTGGTTTCAATGAAACGCAAAATCAGATGAGATGCATAATGAGTGGACAATCTGGAGTCACCAATATCGCATCCCCAACAAATTTGAATCCCACTCAATGAATGTTCACCCACTAATCAAATCAATTTTTACACCATAAAATATATAACTATATCACAATCTGATAAATTAAGAGTTTCAACTCAGAGGTCACGTGAATCTTGGCTCTATCAATACTTAACGTCAAAGTTACAGTGAAGAGAGTCACAATGTAAAAGTGACACTCTGGAGTATAACTACAAACACCGTCGCGACCATCCAAGTGACAGAAAAGTATGATAAGCCAATTCTGTATTGAGAGTTATCACAAACATTCAAGAGTAAAAACAAAGTAGCAATCTAATTTAAATCAGTGGATTTAAATAGATGGTGTATGCAGCTAAATGCTCAGGTATGTGCACATGGGTAAGTAAATTTAAATAGGAGGGTTGCAATGAGTGTTAGGAAGCACATATCAGTTGGTGATCTGACGAGGCAGAAGAAGATACAAAAACAGAAGTTGCTGGAAAAGGTCAGCAGGTCTGGCAGCATCTGTGAAGAAAAAAAAATTCAGAGTTAATATTTCAGGTCCAGTCACCCTCCCTCAGAACTGATGGTAGTTGGGAAGACATTGGTTTATATGCAGAAAATAGGGAGGGGAATGTGGTAGGGAGTAAACGAGAGGATAGAGCCCGAAGAGAGAGAAGAACAGTTGGATAGACAAAGGACTTGATAACTATCTGGTTGGGAGGGTGAATAGCTGTTAATGGGGACTATTAATGACTAACAACAGGTGTTGTGTCTAGGCCCGAAACATCAGCCTTCCTGCTCCTATGATGCTGCTTGGCCTGCTGTGTTCATCCAGCTCTGCACCTTGTTATCTCAGGTGTTGTGTGATGGCAGGCTGTGTGGTAACAAGGCCTGGTGTGTGGGGTAGGGGGATGGGACATGGGAGAGTTTAGGCCCTAAAATTATTGAACTCTATATTGAGTCTGGAGGGCTGCAGGGTCCCCAAGCGGAAAATGAGGTGTTGTTCTTCCAGCTTGCACTGAACTTCACTGGAACACTGTAGCAAGCCAGAGACAGAGATGTTGGCCAGGAAACAGGGTGGTCTGTTAAACTGGCAGGCAACAGGTAGCTCAGGGTCTTTTTTTGGTGAGCAGAACGTAGTTGTTCTGCAAAGTGATCACCGAGTCTATGCTTCATTTCCCCAGCATTGAGGGGAACACACTGAGCAGCAAATGCAGTAGATCAGATTGTGGGAAGTGCAGGTGAAGTGTTGCTTCACCTGGAAGGTGTATTTGGGTCCTTGGATAGTGAGGAGGGAGGAGGCAAATGGGCAGGTATTACACCTTCACCGGTTACAAGGGAAGGTGCCGTAGGGCTGCGGGGAGGTGTTGGGGGTGAAGGAAGAGTGGACCAGCGTGTGCCAGAGGGAACGGTCCCTGCAGAAGGCAGACAAGGGAGAGGAGGGGAAATGTGTGTCTGGTGGTGGCATCTCTCTGGAGGTGGCGGAAATGGCGTCTGATGATCTCCTGGATGTGGATGCTGGTGGGATGGTAGGAGAAGACCAGGGGAACCCGATCGCTGTTGCGGGAGAGAAGAGAGGGAGTGAGGGCAGAAGACCGGGAGATGGGTCAGACTTGTCTGAGGGCTGTTGACAACGGTGCTGGGGAATCGGCGTTTTCCCAACCACCATTAGTTCTGAGGAAGGGGCACTCGACCCGAAACGTTAACTCTGATTTTTCCTTCAGAGATGCTGCCAGGCCTGCTGAGCTTTTGCAGCAACTTCGGTTTTTGTCTCTGATTTACAGCATCCGCAGTTCTTTCGGTCTTTTTTTATTTCGGCAGAAGATGACTGAAGCTGTAACCGACGTCAGGCCACCCTGAACTTGCGGTCCTGGGCACGGCAACTGGGTTTCACGCTGGAAAACGTTCCTGTGCTCAGCACTGGCAATCCTCAACTGAATGAGCACAGATAAACGAGGGAGCAGGAGTAATCTCTCACCTATGCTGACGTTCCTCATCTCCTGGTTGACCTGGACTTCCATGTTTCTGCTATTACCTTTCGCCCACTTTCGCTGGTTCTTGACTTTGCTGTCCCCGTTGTAGATTGGATTAATTACTTCGTTTAGCGGAGTGACAGCTGCGGAAGGTACGGATGACGTTGGGGTGTTGGACTTGGTCCCTGTGGTACTCGGGGTGGCAGCTGCAGACGATTGCCCAGACTCCGAGGTGTCATCCTGTCGCGAAAAGTTACACGAGAGTTACAAACGCAGAGCCGTCCTCAAGATGAGAGAGTGATGTGACCAGCTAGTGAATTGACAGCCTCAATCTATTTCAAATTGTCTAAAATAAACAAAAAGATGCCACATCTATCATCGAAACACAGAGCAGGAATCAGACAGAAACTCTAACCAGTCAAAATAACTAGACAACTGGGGCAGAAGATTAAAAAGTATCAATGTGATACACAATTAGCCGCGATAGAAGGCTCCATTCACTAACACCCAGTTTGCATCACAGTCAATTCCAAAACGCACAAACTTACCAGATTAATCATCGTCTGGGTCCTTCCCAGAAACAGCATTAATGTAAGACCAGTTTTAATAAGTCCACATGAAGTGCTGGCTCTGAACTCCAGCTTATAGCACAGGCCTGAACTCTGTCTACTCCCCACAACCTTCAGGTGGTCAGTGCCCCTCTCCTCACTCAAGGCACCAGCCTCTAGCAGCCTCACCAGCCTTTCCTCAAAGGTACCCAAACAGGGTCCAGTTCCTGTGCTGAACAGGTTCTGCCCAAGTTTCTGGCCTGTCCGGTGAATAATGGCTAATTAATTGCCCCCTACTCAGACCGTATTTAACTGCTACCCAGATGTCCTAAACAAACATAATTACATTTTTACTTTGTTTTTATAAAATGGCGTACAACAGGCTGCATTCCTGAAGGAACCCGAAAGCCTGACGATAAAGACCCCATTTGGAATACCAATTTATCACATTATCCAATGGATAGAAAACAATATTACATGGGACAGGTGCTAGGGACAATCAAATTCAGAATTGGTTGTTTGAGAGCCTTCTTTAGGTATTACTCCTAATGAAAATTGCATTGAAACTACTTCCTTCCGTGATGTTTAATTTAGGGAAGGTGATGGCCTAGTGGTATTTTCACGAGACCCATAATACAGGTATGGGGACCTGGGTTCGATTCCCACTCAAAACAGTAAAAGTTAAATTCAATAAACATCTGGAATTAAGAGTCTAGTCTAATGATGACTATTGTTTAAAAAAAACCCATCTGATTGACTGATGTCCTTTAGGGAAGGAAATCTGCCATCCTTACCTGGTCTGGCCTACAGTTCTTGCTATCTCCTGCTGTCTTGTCTGTCTGGTTATCTGAAATCCCCATATTTCTACTGGACATTCTGAGTTTCCTGTCAGAGAAGGCCTGTCCTTTTTTCTCTAATTTGGGAAAGAACCTGCCTTTGCTTTCTCCAATATATCAAAGAACAAAGAAAATTACAGCACAGGAACAGGCCCTTCAGCCCTCCAAGCCTACGCCGATCCAGATCCTATCTAAACCTGTTGCCTATTTTCCAAGAGATAGTAGGAACTGCAGATGCTGGAGAATCTGACATAACAAGGTGTAGAGCTGGATGAACACAGCAGGCCAAGCAGCATCA